ATAGTGGTTTAGGGAGCATGAGACATAATTTTCACAAACGGATTGGCCACCACAGAGTCCAGACCTTAACCCAATTGAGAATCTTTGGCATGTGCAAGAGAAGTCTTTACGCAGTGGTCCGACTCTCCCATAACCAAGATCTTGGTGAAAACTTAATAAAACTCATGATGGAAATAAATCTTGTGACATTGCATAAGCTTATCGAAACTATGCTACGGCAAATGCGTGCCGTAATCAAAGCTAAAGGCGGTCCAACAAAATGTTAGAGCGTGTGACATTTTTGTGGGCCAGGCAGTGTATGTCTGACACCAACTTCCTCTACAACCGAATTGTCACGGATCGGGGCTCACAGGTATGAACTGGAATCAGGTCTGCGGATCCTATCTACTACACTGGCAGGGACACTTAGAGAAAAGGGTGCGAGCAGTGTAGGCTGATGAGTCCCAGAGCTGGAGTACAAGCAGGGAACACAGCAGGGGAACTGAATGAGGCAGTGGAAGACAGAATAGGCTGGTAGGTCAAGGTACTAGACAGGGTGCTGCAATGCAAGGTAGCTGGCATGGGGTCCCCCGAGATGTGGAATGTAAGGGCCAGCTGGTGTTCACCAGAGTTCCTGATTGTGGAGATGGACTTGGCTGCGTGCTGACCCCAGGTCACAATCCCTAGGTTCACCCAACAGCCAAGAAATGGTAGACAAGGCCAGAGTTCTAGACACGTTTCAGACACACATACAAAAGGACAAAACAATAGTCAGGGACAGACAGGTGATCAAGACTTCCAAGGACAATCCAAAGGATAGGGACAGACTGAAGACTGGGATCACCAGGGACAAGTCAAAGTTCAGGACAGACTGAGGACAAGGATTTCCAGGAACAAGCCAAAAGTTGGTAAACAGGCAAACTTCAAGGAATTCAGATTCATTCACAACCAGGGGGGGCTCTGCCTCTAGCTTGGGAAAGCGTTGCTGGGGCTGCGTGCCATGCACTGCCCTGGGTTTAAATAGAGGCAAGAAGAGGGAGGATCCACAGGATTGGCCACAAGCGGACTGCACTGATTGGCCGAGAAGCTGAATTAGAAACAGCAGGCGAGGTCGGCCGACGCCTAAAGCTGCCAGACTGGTGCAAGAGTGAGTCAGGTACAGAGCACATGCCTGGAGAACTACAAGCAACGGCACAGCCCTGCATGCCTGCAGTACCAGTGGTAAAAGGTCTGCATATACTTGTAGAACTACAAGTCTGCAGCTGAACTGTGACACGAAATCAGCTTACATGTTCAAAAGAGGGAATGGCTAACCATTAAAAAGGGCTTAGTATCACTCTTTTAGTTCAATAGGTGTTTATTGAAATTTTCACAAACATAGTATCACTCTTTTGAGATATCTTAGAAAGTCAATTAGTTTGAAAAATACAAGGGCAATGCCATTGTCAGCTTTAGAGTAACTGGTCCAACTAATATAGGCATGCCAGCAGAAAACTACAGGATGCAGATACCAGAGCATTCATCCCATACAAAGCAAGAGCAGCAGTGACCAGTCTTTATTACAGAAAGTTCTTACACGGAGGCAAAGTGTAAAGTTGTGTCACACTGGATAACTGCGCACATCTAGAAGAAATACACAAAAAAGACCAAAAATCTACTAAGAATACACATGCCTCTTGTATTTAAAAATAATTATTCTTTACACATTTCAGCTTTAACTGGCTAGGAAGCTGAAATAGAAAAGATTGGTGTTTTCCATCTGGCTGTGCAGTATAACAGAAGTGTAGAAATTACAAGAGTGGCTGAACAGAAATACAATACATGTATTATTACAGGGGAGCTGCTTGCGTGGAATTGTGCTTTTAATGCCTGAATTGAAGGTGATTTCATATCCGGCATTCAGACAGAACAATTCTATGGCTACCAAAGAGAAGTTAAATGACTATTCATCCACTTGGTATTTACCTGCTCTTTTATTCTCTCTCACGCAAGTAATTTGTTTTGTATTGTACACACACTTTATTTCCAGTACAATTACTATGAGCTCCTTGTGACATTCTATGCAGAATGGCAACAAAAGGCTGATCCATGTCCACAGAACTGAGGTGGTGGAATAACTGTTGTTCTTTGGAAATGACGAATACCCTACATGACTCAGCTGACTGACAACAGATGGAACAACACAGGTTTCCCTAAATGATTCATGGAAATGTTCGTGTTACAAATAGCATGGATTGTTTTTTTTTAATCAAAGTAATTTTCAGATGTCGAGTATAAATAAAATCAGTTACGTAATCCTTCAGAGATGTGCCCAGTTTAGATTTAAAAATAGTTAAAACATAAACCTTCAGCGGAATTATTTTACTGCAACAGCAGTGACATTATTTAATGCAGCAGTTGAACAATCTGAGAGATAATAGTGTTGGCAGTCCGCCCAGGTGTCTTATTTGTGTGCAGTTTTAAATGACCTGCCATCATTCTGTCTTCCAGCCAAATGCTTTGAGATGTTTTATTTATCGATTCTTTAGGACTCCAGCGAACCACAGTGAGAGCCATTATCCACAAATGGCGAAAACATGGAACAGTGGTGAACCTTCCCAGGAGTGGGCGGCCAACCAAAATGACCCCAAGAGTGCAGCGACGACTCATCCAAGAGGTCACAAAAGACCCCACAACAACATCCAAAGAACTGCAGGCCTCACTTGCCTCAGTTCCGGTCAGTATTCATGACTCCACCATAAGAAAGAGACTAGGCAAAAATGGCCTGCATGGCAGAGTTCCAAGACGAAAACCGCTGCTGAGCAAAAAGGACAAAAGTTTAACTTTTTGGAAGGCGTGTGTCCCATTACATCTGGCTTAAGAGTAACACCGCATTTCAGAAAAAGAACATCATACTAACAGTAAAATATGGCTTTGCACTAGCAGATGAATCCTGCATGTCTCTCTCTAAGCTGGCATGTACACACACTGACCCATACAGGTAGGTCTACCTGCCCTAATCAGCAGACCCAAAACATTGTCCATGGGATTGAGAACCCATCCCTCTAAAATCTCTAGTGACTTCCCAGTAAAACCAGCCATACCACATGTTTTGTAAAACAATATGAGGTTCCTCTACCGCAGAGACCTGGCTTCACCTTAAAATGCGTACTTAAGAAACCATGGAGCTTTTCCAGACAACATAACTAACAGGTTCTACAGTTACCAGGTTACAATATACTGAATATATATATATATATAAAAAAAAATAATAGAGAGAGAGAGAAAGACTGATTTCCCACCCTGTTAACATACAATGCTTCTAGATCTTTAACCCTTTGTTTGGACAGACATTGTTCATTTCAAGTATACAACTAATAAAGAACATTCTATGAGAGGTTAGTAGAGATCTGGATAGAGGAAAGCCAGTGGATGTAGTGTACCTGGATTATGGAAAGGCATTTGACACTGTACCACATAAATGCTTAACACACAAGCTATGGCCATAGATGAAATGGTGTGTACATGGAAAGAGAACTGGCTACAGGAACATGTCCAGAGAGTATTTATGAATGGCTCTTTTTTCACATTAAGGTGGAGAGTGGCATGTCTCAGGGTTCTGTGCTAGGCCCAATACTGCTTAACCTGATTATTAATGATATTGGGGAAGGTGTTAATAGCCATGTTTCTGTTTTTGCAGATGACACTAAAATTAGGAGGGTAATAGACACGGGCTTAGACAATATAACATTACAGGAGGACCTGGATAAAGTAGGGGAGTGGGCAACTATGTGGCAGATGAGGTTTAATGTTGAAAATGTAAATTAATACATTTTGGGGTTAAAAACAGGAAAGCGGAATACATATTAATAGGGACTCCACTAGGGAAGTCAGAAATGGAAAAAGATTAGGGGGTCGTAGTAGACCACAGATAGAATAAGAGCACGCAATGCCATGCTGTGGGAAACAACGCTAACAGAGTAAAGTCTTGCATTAAAAAGGGAATGTTCTGTAGAGACAAAGCACTCATTTTGCCACTTTACAGATTGCTGGTTTGGCCTCCTCTTGAGTATGCAGTTCAGTTTTGGTCACCAGTTCACAGAAAATATGTCCTTGAGCTGGAGAGAGTCCTGAGAAGAGCAACTGAGCTAATTAAGGGGCTGGAGGATCAAAGCTATGAGACAAGGTTACTAAATTTAAACTTGTTCACAATTGAAGTGAGAAGATTAAGAGGGGATATGATTTTGATGTACAAAATGTTAAGTGGTGATGGCAACATCAGCAATAAACTTTTTACTGTAAACTCCATAACAAAGACTAGAGGCCACCACCTAAAATTGGTGGAGAAAAGATTTAACCACAAAGAACGTAGGGGATTCTTTACAGTGGTTACATTTTGGAACTCTGTGCCACAAGCAATGGTACAGGAAAGCTCAGTAAGATTTCTAAGCAAGTAAAAAAACAAAAAACAAACCACCACTTAAAAATGGGAACAACGATTTTTTGAATAAAGTAGGTGTTATCATAATTTGGCTGCAAATGATCCTCTTTAAACCATATTTGTTGGTGTTGCAGCCCATGTCAACCAGAAATCTACTTTAAAGCTGAAATACTCACCACAGATCAACAGGATTAAGTGTGCTGGGAAAAAGGTCCTCTGACCCCTTACCAGTCCACATCCACATCCTGCAGTCCATTTCAGCATAAATCTCCCCATCATTTAGACATGTGTGGGTCCCCCAACCAAAAAGTGAATGGGCTATTAAAAAAAAAGTACATTGTTAGTAGAAGTACACAGTCTTACGTGTGAAAAACTTAATGTAGATGCCCATATTTAGTCTTTATTAAGATATGTGGACCTTGAGAAGTTCAGGCACAATTTACAGACAACACTATAGTAGTCTTCTGTGACCACTTCCCTCTATCTGATTTTCCATAGGAACATGTGGATTTATTTTTCCATGACAGCAAATAAAAATAAAAAAAAAGGTTGAGTTAAGCCAGTCATAGCTGTTCCAGGGATGTGGGTTGGGCGAGATCCTGAGCCATAGTAAAGATCTTAGCCTGCTCCACTCAACCCAAAGCTGAGAAATCTATTTTGGGTAGAGCTGTTCTTTAAAGTCCCTCTTTAGTTGATTTCTTTAGAAACCTGACCACATCATCAGAAAGTCCTGGCACTGGTTTTATATTGGTGGTCTCTCCAGTGGAAGAAAATACATTATCAGTGACACAGTTCTCTAAAACCTTTGCTCCCTCCTGATGTAAAATAATCTTTGCCATCTGAAAGCTGCGTAGGGCATATAAGTGTTTCTTCTGCTTTAATTCCAATATTTTCTCAGTAAGCTGATGGGAAAATAAATCATCTCCAGGCTGGGAGCTAAGTTCATAAAATGCATCTAAATTTGCCCGCATTTGGGCATCATCAATGTCTTCATCGGTTTGTAGTTTGGGTGAAGAGGTTATGGTACAACTCCTTTGTTCTGCAACAATGGAAGAACTGCTGCTGGGTGACGATGAAGAGGATCTTTCATTATCTTCTAGTTTTATTTTTTCATTGTCTCCACAACTGCTTGTTCTGTATCCTAAAGAAAGAAAATAAAATCCTTAATGGAGCAAAAAAATGTTTTCATAATTCAGAAACAATTAGACACACACAGAGTATAGGCTGATTCTGCTGCACAGTCTTATCAGGAACACACTAATTCAGTTAGAATTATATGGGCACAGGGGCACAGTTGGGTTAGGGAGTGGTAGTGTGTAGATATGAAGAATGGATGTACTGGTGTATCTCCACTTTGGGAGCCAAAGTAGTTTGTAAGTGCACTCGGGAGACATCCAAGTATGATAAGAAATACATGTATTCCAAATGGAAATGGACAGAACAGGCAGGAGGCTGCAACACATTTACAATGCTCTACATAGTAGGAACAAATATAGCCATGTTGTCTTCTCCCACTGGTGAACTCAGCACTTCATTGTAAACTTTGGAAATTATAGTATGCATGCAGTTATAAAACTGCATGTGTACAATCAATGTTCTAATATGTGGCTGGGAAATACAGTTTAAAAAAAAAAAAAGAGAAAAAGAGCTGCACGTCCTTTCCTGAGTTCCCATTGAAATCTCTATGCTCTTTGTCTCTCTGTTTTCCCCCTCTGCCCTGTCCTGAGTGTCCTCCCTACTCCGCTCGCCCACATGTGTGTTTATACTCTGTCTATGAGTATTTAAAAGTGTCTTTGCATTAGCATTGCACTGGATATGGTCACATCAATTGTTCCATCTTGTTTCTGCTATCCTAACCTTAAAAGAGAACTATGGGGTTAGGGCTTTTCCCCATAGTTCTTCTAAGGGTAACGGGAGGACACAAACTAGCATCCTTACATCACCCAAAAGCTCAGTATACTGCGAGCCGCAGCTCGCGGTATACTGAGACGCTGCAGCTGGAACGGATCCCGACAATTATGTCTGGATCCACCCAGCTGTGTGACAGCTGGCTCTGCCTATCTAAAGGCAAAGCCAGCTGTACCCGCCCCCTCACCGTCCGTTCCGTCAAATCAGCGCTGGAGGATCGGACAGGGGAGGGGGGAATCCAGTCCCTGCCCTGTCACGGCTCTCTGCCTCAACGCAAGGAACGTTAAAAGAGAACTATGGGGTAGTGTTTTTCCCCATAGTTCTCTTAAGGGTCACGGGAGGACATATACTAGCGTCCTCCCGTGATCCGAAGCTCAGTATATCGCGGTATACTGAGACCGCCGCAGGCGGGACGGATCCCGACAATGCTGTCGAGATCCACCCAGCTGCGTGAGTGACAGCTGGCTCTGCCTTTCTAGAGGCAGAGCCAGCTGTACCCACCCCCTCCCCTGTTCGTTTCTCCAGTCAGCGCTGGGGGATCGGAAAGGAGAGGGGGAATCGCTGCGGGGAGCCATGACTGACAGTTACTGTTCTCTGCAGGGAGATGATGGAGAAGTGAGCGAGCGACGGTATGTGTTCGCTCACTTCGTGATTTACTGAGCCGACCTGTGACAGTTTCATTGTCACATTCAGATTATGAGGCTGAGTGAATATCACTCACCTCATAGTTCTCCTTTGATCTTGTTATGTTGATACTTTGCATCTTCTGTCTCACTACGTTGTTATCTTTCAATTTTACTCTGGCTGCCTTCTTGCCTTACATCATATATTAGACTACCTGATTCCTCTGCAGTTTGTTGCACTCTTGTATCTGACTGCTTTGCTACTTTTACCAAGGGGACTCCTTGCTTTGTTGCACTTCAGTCTCTCCTAGTATTCCTCCTCAAGTGCCCAAGCACTTTATTTCCAGTTTCGTCCTTGGCATTTGCTGTATTTGATTGCCCTCTGTTGCTTAATTCATGAAGCAAACCCAAGGCCACACCCTGCAGGGTGTCTTGCAGCTTAAATACATATTTACCACTGGAGAGTATGGTACAGACCAGGCATTCCCAGGACCTGCATCTTGAGGTCTGCATATTATCATCCGCTGGAAATATAACTTCCTGCTTTCATCTGCCCGGTCTTCTCAATATCTATTTGTACCTTTTCTGATGACTTGCCTCTGAATACTATTTTCCTGCTTTGGCCACATTCCTGTGATGACCAAATCAGGAACAGGAGTATTCATGCTTTGGCCATCACCTGTGACTCATGACCCATGTTTTACCCTTTAACATTCCCTCGTTATATTTTTTCCCCCAGTTTCCTCAGCGAGTTTCCATCCTTCCTTAACCTGAACTGCAGTCTCCTGGTCCTAAAAAGCATCATGACTTTAGCAAGCCCCTTTTGGTAGGCACTGTAGTCAGATCCACATTATGTCACACCAGGAATTCTAAATTTAAACTGTAAATTGACAATGATCATCAAACTCTGCAACTAGTGGCGATCCCAACCCAGAAAGTGGCTGCTTTGTGAAGTGCTTGGTGGGTATGTTGTCTACATTCATAAAAAGAGCGGCTACTGAGGTATTGCTTCATGATCCAAGTGTGGCAAAAAAAGACATTCTGCTATGACAGAAGGGGACTCAAAGAACACCAGTGTAAAGGCCAAGTGGGCTTTAGTAGTCCAGGGTTACTTTAGTTTTAGAGAGGAATACATTCCATCATTAGTTTCTTATATGTCCGTCAATGTACGGTTTAAAGTGATTGTAGGCGTATCAGTGCACAGAGTTGATTGCAGTCTGTGATACTTCTTTTTAATTTACACTAACAGTTAATTTTCTGGACAAGCTTTTGGGTGCCTAACTCATTCTCAGTCCAAGCAGTACTGATACACAAAAGGTAAGACACAAAATCCAGCGACAGATATACAGTATGTCAATTGAAAAGGCTATTTCAATGCACCTGTACTTAGCATATGGTCTCAACGTTTGGAAATAGAAATAAGGCTATAAAAATGTTAAGCTTAGGGAGGACTCGTTTCACACATCCTCCTGCTTGCATGGATTCTGAAACCATGCTAGAAAAACACAAAATGTAGCTCTGTCCACCACCACATCTTACCCCAAAATTCCCTCACACTAATCCAACACAAAATCTGGCAATTGCGGACTCTTTTTTTAATGTGACCCTGTCAAAAAAGAGGTTACATTTTGCAGCCAAAGATTTGATTGAGAGTAGGAGGCAGCCTTTGCTTATTCCTGGTCACATATGTCATGCATTATGCTGCAGATGTCTTTTCTGCCCTGGAACTAGCACATCCTCTGGAAGTCAGACACTGGCAGCCTACAGAATTAGATGATTGCCTTGGCTGTGACAGATAACAGCTCCAATCAGGCTGCTTTTAACATGTGTAAAAGAGCCAATTCAATGTCCACAGCAAGTTCAAGAACTCAAAGGCCGATGGGAAAACACCCTCTCTTAATGAGGCTGATTTACATCTAAAAAGCAAAATAGCCCTTGTGTATGTATGTTCCATTTCTATCATGTTCTTCACGAGTATAGGGGAAGCAGATTTACTTTGAGATGCCCTATAGTGCTTTTCAATTCATTTTCATGTCCTGATGATTTCTGCAAATTAGATGAAATTACAGAGTGCACCGGCTTTTGTTTTGCTTTAGTGACGGCAAACGTAAATTCTTGTACAAAGGGCTTTTCTTCTCATCATCAAATCATTAGTCCAAGGTCTTTGTGATCTTTTAACAACTACTGTATTATTTATTTATTTAGCTCTGGCAATGTATCTGCCACTCTAAATAATAAGACTGTGCCGCAACAGGTTTGAAAGATGTGTCTGGATGGGGATGTAGCATTATGTTAGGCACCCTGATGTCTCTCTTACATCTGTTTCAGCCCGATAGTACTAGAATGCACAGAACAGTGTTCTCTCGGCTGGCACACCCCACACTAGTCTTACCCTATCACACGTGTTTTTCCGTGCATGCCCCCCAATTTTCTGAGATGGGAAAGGGGGGCACATTATAGTGATAAAGAACAACTCCAGCATTTTTTTTGTCATTAACCTTTGCAGTGGGGCTACCCCACACCTGGGCATTTTGATGCTGAAAGCTAAGTGCCACAAAACTCTCAACACAAGAAACCCAATTCATTTCTATGGCCCATTGTTCACACCTGAGAGTTTTGTTCCAAGCTGTAAGACGCCGAACGCTGGAAAAGGTACATGAGCTTCCTTCGGGCAGATTAGAGCACGTTTGGCCGCATAGACTTCAATGGAAGAGCATTAAAACGTGCAACACAAGTGCTTTGCACATTTCTGTGCGCGTTTGGTGTGCACTTTTCCTCATTCACAGCAATGCATTTTGATCTGTTCAAGAAAATGTGTGTCTTTGCCTATGCGCGTCTAACGCACGTAAAAATGTGCAAAACGCGCAAACCATGCGAGGGAAAAACTTGCATAAAAACACGTGTTTTGTGCATGGAAATGCTGACGCCTAGGTGTGAATAGAGACAAAGTGTTAGCTTCTTTACAAATCAGAGTGGTATTCAGTGGAGCAGACAGTGTGAAAGGTAGGTATGCACACTCTTCTTTCATGAGTATATCTTCACGGAGTAATTTTAGAATAGAGACTTTAACCACATTCCTTGATTTACGATAAGCATTCAGCACTTCACATAGGGTTGCCACCTTTTCTTCAAGTGAAACCCGAACATTCTAGCGCTGCATGCAGCAATTTGCAGGTGGCTATGCGGGCTCTCAGGTGGGCTTTGCCGGCTCTCAGATGGCTGCGTTGGCTCTCAGGTGGGCTATGCGGGCTCTCAGGTGGCTTTGTAGGGTCTCAGGTGGGCTATGCGGGCTCTCAGGTGGCTGTGTAGGCTCTCAGGTGGGCTATGTGGACTCTCAGGAGTGCTGTGCGGCCTTGTGGTGTCTCACCAGGGGTCCAGAGTTACTTAGCATATGGTCTCAACGTTTGGAAATAGAAATAAGGCTATAAAAATGTTAAGCTTAGGGAGGACTCGTTTCACACATCCTCCTGCTTGCATGGATTCTGAAACCATGCTAGAAAAACACAAAATGTAGCTCTGTCCACCACCACATCTTACCCCAAAATTCCCTCACACTAATCCAACACAAAATCTGGCAATTGCGGACTCTTTTTTTAATGTGACCCTGTCAAAAAAGAGGTTACATTTTGCAGCCAAAGATTTGATTGAGAGTAGGAGGCAGCCTTTGCTTATTCCTGGTCACATATGTCATGCATTATGCTGCAGATGTCTTTTCTGCCCTGGAACTAGCACATCCTCTGGAAGTCAGACACTGGCAGCCTACAGAATTAGATGATTGCCTTGGCTGTGACAGATAACAGCTCCAATCAGGCTGCTTTTAACATGTGTAAAAGAGCCAATTCAATGTCCACAGCAAGTTCAAGAACTCAAAGGCCGATGGGAAAACACCCTCTCTTAATGAGGCTGATTTACATCTAAAAAGCAAAATAGCCCTTGTGTATGTATGTTCCATTTCTATCATGTTCTTCACGAGTATAGGGGAAGCAGATTTACTTTGAGATGCCCTATAGTGCTTTTCAATTCATTTTCATGTCCTGATGATTTCTGCAAATTAGATGAAATTACAGAGTGCACCGGCTTTTGTTTTGCTTTAGTGACGGCAAACGTAAATTCTTGTACAAAGGGCTTTTCTTCTCATCATCAAATCATTAGTCCAAGGTCTTTGTGATCTTTTAACAACTACTGTATTATTTATTTATTTAGCTCTGGCAATGTATCTGCCACTCTAAATAATAAGACTGTGCCGCAACAGGTTTGAAAGATGTGTCTGGATGGGGATGTAGCATTATGTTAGGCACCCTGATGTCTCTCTTACATCTGTTTCAGCCCGATAGTACTAGAATGCACAGAACAGTGTTCTCTCGGCTGGCACACCCCACACTAGTCTTACCCTATCACACGTGTTTTTCCGTGCATGCCCCCCAATTTTCTGAGATGGGAAAGGGGGGCACATTATAGTGATAAAGAACAACTCCAGCATTTTTTTTGTCATTAACCTTTGCAGTGGGGCTACCCCACACCTGGGCATTTTGATGCTGAAAGCTAAGTGCCACAAAACTCTCAACACAAGAAACCCAATTCATTTCTATGGCCCATTGTTCACACCTGAGAGTTTTGTTCCAAGCTGTAAGACGCCGAACGCTGGAAAAGGTACATGAGCTTCCTTCGGGCAGATTAGAGCACGTTTGGCCGCATAGACTTCAATGGAAGAGCATTAAAACGTGCAACACAAGTGCTTTGCACATTTCTGTGCGCGTTTGGTGTGCACTTTTCCTCATTCACAGCAATGCATTTTGATCTGTTCAAGAAAATGTGTGTCTTTGCCTATGCGCGTCTAACGCACGTAAAAATGTGCAAAACGCGCAAACCATGCGAGGGAAAAACTTGCATAAAAACACGTGTTTTGTGCATGGAAATGCTGACGCCTAGGTGTGAATAGAGACAAAGTGTTAGCTTCTTTACAAATCAGAGTGGTATTCAGTGGAGCAGACAGTGTGAAAGGTAGGTATGCACACTCTTCTTTCATGAGTATATCTTCACGGAGTAATTTTAGAATAGAGACTTTAACCACATTCCTTGATTTACGATAAGCATTCAGCACTTCACATAGGGTTGCCACCTTTTCTTCAAGTGAAACCCGAACATTCTAGCGCTGCATGCAGCAATTTGCAGGTGGCTATGCGGGCTCTCAGGTGGGCTTTGCCGGCTCTCAGATGGCTGCGTTGGCTCTCAGGTGGGCTATGCGGGCTCTCAGGTGGCTTTGTAGGGTCTCAGGTGGGCTATGCGGGCTCTCAGGTGGCTGTGTAGGCTCTCAGGTGGGCTATGTGGACTCTCAGGAGTGCTGTGCGGCCTTGTGGTGTCTCACCAGGGGTCCAGAGGCAGGCAGAATGGTATCAGGAAGACAGAGATGTTTACAGGCACCTGCGGCTCATAGGAAGGTTGTCGTGGTCCCCAGCAAGCACGGAACCTCAGGCAGCTGCATCTGGCAAAAGATTTAAAGTGCTGGCACTTAGTGTCTCTTGTCCTGGTGTCAGCTGGCCTGAAACCTGGATACAGGACTCAAAAACTGGGCTGTCCAGGTGAAACCCAGACAGGTGGCAACCCTAACTTCACATTGGGATGCACCGGCATGCTAAAGGCTAAATCTTAAAGGCTAAATTTACTT